AAAACACCCCCCCCCCCCCCCCCTTTAAAAATTTCCCCCCAATAAAAAAAACTTTTTTAACCCCCTTTTCCAAAATTAAAAAAAAACTTTTCCCCTTCCTTAATATTCCCTTTAAAAAAAAAATTCTTCCCCCTTTCAAAAACCCCTTTTTTAACCCCTTACCCCTCCCAAACCCTCCCCCCCCCCCCCCCCCCCCCCCCCCCCCCAATTGAAGAAGGAGAAACCAGTGAGGAAGACGATGCGGATGCGGAGGGCGCAGTGACGGGTGATTCCTCGGAGAGGGGGAAGAAGGCACCGGAGGATGTCGTATCAGGCTGGAAGGTGCCTCGCCCGCCCCCGCTGAAGGTTCCGAACCGGTCTCCCGCCATGGTGTTCAACGACTACGCCATGCAGGCCAGGTTTCAGGTGGGACGAGGCGGCTCTTTGTTGCTGCTGCTGTTTTTGACGCCAACTACTTGGGTGTTGTTTGTAGTTATGGTCTTGGGCATGTTGCTGTCTTTGCCGTCAACGACTTTACTGTCGTTGTGGGCACTTGTCGTTTGCAGCGTTTGATGTTGGCTGTTTCTTTGTTGTTGGATGCTGCTTGAGTTTTAGTCGGTTTTTGTATCTTGTTTTGTTTTAATTTCTACCGTACACACCTTGTTGTTGCCTGCTTCTACCCCCCCCCCGCCCCCCTCGGCCTCCTGTCCTGTCCATCAGGCCCCCGCCGACTTCGAGCAGGTCACCGGCGAGGACGGCCAGGCGGAGTACTTGTGTACCATCAGCGTCGGTCCAGAGGACAGGATAGTTGGACGAGGGAGAGCCCCGAACATGAAGGCGGCCAAGCAGCAGGCGTCCCGCGAGCTGCTCACGGTATGTGGATGTTTCTGTCTTTTGTCCCTCTAGCGGCAGTTGACCGCACTAAAATCGGCTGATCAATGAAAACAGGTCAGTCGTCAGTGCGAAACGGAACATTCTTCTGAAGACCATGTGTGTGTTTTGTGTAAATAGCATCGAGCGCGCTAACCGGCTGATCGATGAAAGTAGGTCAGTTTCGGTGCGGCCAAAAACGAAAACGCTTCTGAAGACCATGCGTGTGTACGACATGTCCCGGGTGCTGCGGGTCGACTTGCTCTGCTGGCTCTACCCCACCCTACCCCAACTGCCACCTACGGTCTGAGCTCCGCAGAAGCCCTTTCGCGACCACTTTCAACTGCTGGATGCGCCACACACAACACGGCGTCGCCTGTTCGAAACGCCCGAGCAACTGCTACACGCGATTTCGACCCTCCCCTATGCTGCCCCCGCCTCTATCTCCCTACCCCGTTTGGGCAGAATGCCGCCCTGGCGTGGAACGAGGAAAACCCCGAGGAGCTGATCGATATGGAGACGATGGTGCCCTTGCCAGCCGAAGGTGCGGAACGTGCTGCGCTTTTGCTTTTTTATTCCGTCTTGCCGTCGTCGTTGCTGCTGTTGTCGTCGTCGTTGCTGCTGTTGTTGTTGGTGGTGGTGGTGTTGTTGTTGTTAGTGGTGGTGGTGGTGGTGATTATGCTGTTCGATTAGGGTGGGGCTTTCTGACGTGCCCCACACCCAATCATGGACCTGTTCTGTCCAGGCACTGTACATGATCGCCTACGTTGCCGTTGGAGTACATTATTGTTGCTGTTTCTGGTATTGCCGTACATTGCTGCTTCTGCTGCTGTGTTGTTCTGGAGAAATTTGGTGTAGCTTCTTCGCACTTTGAGCACCGGCTACAAAGGTGTTCCCGTTTCCTGTCGCAGCGTTGTGGCTCCAGCCCAACGCACCCATGCCCGACAGCTCGGTCGAAGAATCAAATTTGTTGTCGGCGGAGACGAAGGTGGTTCTGGACGAATGGAAGTGATGGCGTGACTTGCGGCCTGGCCTTTTTTCGTAACTAACAAAAAAAACTGCTGAAACAACACAACACAAAGCCGCAGAACAAGGAGTACGTCACAGCAAAAAACACACACACGAAACAAAAATCATAACCCAACACTTTCTCCCGCTCAGTGTAAATCCTTCTAATACACCCCCTTGGACTGCTGCGGTTACCGTAACTGTCGGAGAGGTGGCACATCCGTGTCGTAGCGTTTTTTTATAGCGTGCTTCTCCACAACCACTGGGGTATCACTGCCAAGAAGGGTGGTGTTGGAAACATCTCGTGGAGGGCTTTCGTGAGGAGTATTGGTTGGTGTTCGCACCCTCCTAGTTTTGGAGAAACACACTATAAAAAAACGCTAACACTGGGGTGCCATCTCTCCGGCTCTTACAGTATATCTCGAACGGATAAACAGCACTCTTTTCTGTGATGGTTTGTATATTTTCATATTTTCTAAAAACAACCCAACCTTTGACCCACCCGCCCCCCCCACCCCCCCCAAAAAAAACGGACAGCCGTTTCGAAGAAGACCAAGGCAGCGGTGACCGAGATCACCGAGGAGTTCAAGGCGTATTGTGCGGCCTGGGTGGACAAGGTGGTGAGCGAGGACGTCCACGAGGCCTGCTTCCCGGACGGCATCGACAAGGGCGAGAGGAAGGTATAGTAGGTGGTGCACGCGGTGCTTCTTTACCACCAGTAGTAGAGGTCCCTGTTATGGTATGGGCGGAATTTTGCTGACAGACACAGCTGGAATCAAGGCTGTATACATTAATTATTAGCGCGAGTGATGACGTTGGCTGGCACAACAGTGACGATCAAGGTTGATTTTATGGATTAAATTGTGCGGGTGTCCCGGGTTGTTGCGGGTGAAAAACAATCTCAAGCGGCACTATACAGGGACCCCCACCGCTGTGCCCGCACGAGTGGAGACAAGCGAGTGGTTCCCCGGCAGGAGTTCGTTGCGGCAGGCGGGGGTGCATTGCAGTGCGCTGGTTGTGACGCGCACACCCTACAGTGGGGGTCCCTCAGTAGGGCCCGCCAGGTCCACCGGCGCTCTACCGGCCGGGCACCCGACACTCCTCCGAGAACGACACAAGTGGAATACTCCATCCATGTCACGCGATTCCACACCATCACCGGAACTATAACGGGCAGTGGCGCTATTCTACCCGCACTATTGAGGGGGCCCCACTGCTGTAGTGATACACGGGTATGTGTGCTTGCGCGACAACGCGGACGGGGGGGGGCGGCCCGCGGGCGCGTTTGTAGCTGAGGTCTGCCTTGCGACATCTCGACAAGCGCGTTCTCGTGTACGTGTATCGTCGCGTTCATTCTGGGTGTCAGTATTTTCTACGTTTCGAAATAGTGTTTCTCTAGACGCGTACATTGGCCGGGGTCATACATAAGGGGGGCCGCACACAGGATTATTTGCAGGCGGGGTGGAGGGCCCCGTGCACCAAGGAATGCACCCTACCTGCATGCTCAGGGGAGGAAAGAGTGGCCGGCACCTTTGCCGCCAAACGAGGCTGATTGCATTGGCTCGTTCGATGCCTTGGTCCTGCCCTCTGTCCCTGTGACGCAACAGCTCGCTTATAAACACAAGCAGGCATTCCACAGCAGCAATACGGTCATCCCTCGGTTAAAGACACCATTTCAAAGGACACTCACCCGGTTAAGGGCAACGTTTTGTTCACAGGCATGGCGGCTCGCACAGTGTACAACAGAAGGATGGGTATCATATCAAACCTTAAGGACGCTTCCCCGGCTTAAGGACACCTGTTTAAACGAAAAACCATGTGTGTCCTTAACAGAGGGACGATTGAGAAATGTTTCTTTGCCCCCCCCCACCCCCCACCCCCAGCCCCGTCCTCTCGAGGACGCGTGGTCAATGGTATAACCGCTAAGGCATGCAAAACATAAAGAGTACGCCCCCACCCCCACCCCCCCCACCCCTCCCAGCTCCGTCCCCTCGAGAACGCGTGGTCAACGGTAAAACCGCTAAGGCATGCAAAACATAAGAGTAGGCCCCCGCCACACACACATCCCAGCTCCTCCCTCTGGAGGACGCGTGGTCAGCGGCCTTACAACTAGGGCATTCAAAACAAGAGTACGCCCCGCCCCCCTCCCCCCCCCCCTCCGTTCACGCCTACCTCAGTATGTGCATCGAATGGTGGAGGAGCTCCACAACCCAGCGGTCCTGTCGAAGTCGGCCACTGTCCGGGGGCGCCGGCGGCTTAGCGTGATGCGGAAGGCCATGATGGAGGGGATGGCTTTCATGAGCGGGGACAGCGTGATCGTGGTCGACCTTCCCCCCCCGCCCACTAGCCCTGCAGACGTTGGAGACCTGGGTGAGAAGGGCGGAGAGGGAGCTTAGGGTGGATCTATCGTTGTTGTTGTTGTTGTTGGTGGTGGTGGTGGTGGTGGTGTCCTTGCCGTTGTAGCTGTTGGTTGGGCTGCTAAAGAAGGGGAGAGGGAGATTAGGGTGGATCTATCGTTGTTGTTGTTGTTGTTGTCCTTGCCGTTGTAGCTGTTGTGTTGACGGGTGTTGTATTGCAGTTACGATTGTTGGTGTTATTGATGTGTTGGCGGTTGTTGTTGTTGCTACTACTACTGCTGCCGCCGTTGTTGTTTTTCACGTTCGTGGGTGCCCTCGTTGTTGTATGTTTACCAACTGCTGTAGTCTGGTCCGGTGAGAACCCGGCGTGCTCCGTGCCGACGTTTTAGGGATGCCAGGTCAATGGTCTAACGACTACGGCATGCACGACCTCGAGAAATGCTGCAGCCTACCTGTGCTGCGGGCGGACACTGGCCTTACGAAAGCCTGCTTGCTCTGCCAACCCCTCTAGTTTGCGTTTTTCCTGTCAGACTTGTCCTTGACCCCTCGTCTTTCTCGTCCGTCGCGCTTGTCGTTCTTCGGTCCATGGCTCCTGTGCAGCTTCGATCACGAGGCCGCCGCCGGAGCGCAACTCAGGACCAACGGCAGCAGCAGGCGATTCAACGGTCAAGGATGCGAGCACCGGGGGGGCTGGGGGCGGCGGAGCCAGTAGCAAGACCGCCGGCACGGTTCCCGTAGCTGGTGGTGGCGGTGGTGCTGCTGCTACGGAGGGTTGAGGTGTCGGTTAGCACTGCTAGTGCTGCGTGGGACGGTAAATTGTTTGCGAAGGTGATTTCCACTACTACCCCGGCAAGAAAGTGCGCGCTGCCGTAGAGCAATGAAGCGAAACCTTGACAATAGATGGCCAGCACTGCTGCTGCTGCTGCTGCTGCTGCTGTCGGGAGGGGTTGACAAAAGCAGAACGGGGCATGAACCTGGCGCTCCTGCTGTTGTGCTGTGAAAGAAGAGAGTTGCAAAATACGCCGGACAACATGCGCCGCCACCAGCAGCGACCAGCATAGCGATTAGGTGAGGAGTAGTTAAAGGCCGAAAAGCCAACCAAAACTTAACCAGCGCCAACGAAAGGCCCAACAGCGAGGCGGGATGAGAAATCAGGGCAGAGTCCAGGGGGTAGCCTCAGCCGAGAGGCGAAGTCTTGCTCTGCATCGGAAGGTAGCTTCTTTGTGAATAGCGTAGGCCCTTTGTGTAGCGGAGCTTTCCATGCTCTTGGGGGGGAGGATTGCCCCGTGATTAGACTATGTAGAGATGTCGTGTTCTTTGCGCAGGGTTTTGAGTATTGAAGAATTTGTCTAGTCAATTGAGAAGTTCAAGACTGGAGAGAAAGTTAATGGTTTTACACACCAGCGCCCCGCTGGGCTTGGAAGGCAACAGAAGGTGATGCGATAGGGCTGAGAGATCGACGGACTGGAGAAGATTTAGATAACAGTCCCGTGTCTGGAGGGAGGCAGGCCGGCCTCAAAAACGGGAACGGCGGAACGCGTTTTTCCGATTGGTTTTGCTAGAGGTGTGGACGGGGATGAGTATAGCAAGCCTAACGGACAGCGGAGGCGATCGTGTCGGAGAAGGGGCACACCACACAGACAGGCCTCATAGGCGTAGCTAATTTAGAGAGCGCGCGTGGACCGGCTATGAGTAGTAGCTCGCCTTTTCTAGAGGCTCGGACGGGCGTGAGTAGCTCGCCCAGCAGCGAGATCGTGTCGAGAAGGATCGGTCAACACAGCATCCTGCCGGGTCCGAAATAACACAAGTAGACTAGATCTTATGGTTTTGGTATTCTCGATCCCCGAGCTTTGGCCGCTGGGGGTCTTGAGGGATGGGATGGGTCAGACTCGGCGGAGAGATTAGGTTTTCCGTCATTGTAGACCCACAAGCGCTACCCATGTGAGAACATCGCGCACGCCGGGGTGTGGGTAGTGATTGAGGGTGGGGATCACGTGGACAGGGGTAGGGGTCCGCGCTGATTGTTTTTTTGTGGGGTGACTTGGTTGTGCATGGCAAATGATGGGTGTTTTCTGTTGGGGGAGGACTTATAGCGCCGCAATCATGTTGTTCTTGGGAAGCGTGTATGAATATTATGTAGGTCTTTGTGGAGAAGGCAAGCCTCGTATCGGGTACTGACCGTTGGAGGGGGAGGCGTGGTTGGGGCGAAGCGGGATGCGGTGGGGGGTAGGCGGAGGAAGGAATTTGGGGAGGGGGGGGGTGGGGGTACGGAGGGATTTGCCTCGTGAGTTCAAAACGCTGCATGCAAAGGAGGGAGGCAGAGATTCCGAAGTAGATGAGAGGAGGATCCCAAAAAGAATTCGACGCTCCCGTGCTTTTTTGTCTTGATCTATCTGTGGTATCTATCTGTGCTGTTTTTTAATATTGTGCTTGTTTTTGTTTGGTGGCGCCGAAATAATGGCACGTTTTTCTGTTTTGGA